TTGGGTTGGGTTGGTTTGGGTTACTTTGGGTTGCTTTGGATTGGGTTGGGTTGGGTTCCTTTGGGTTGGGTTGGGTTAGGTTGGTTGAGGTGAAATTAATAGGACTTACTTTATTCAGGAATAACCCCTCGTGTTCTGATACCCTTCCAAAATTTGAAGATTATGCAGGAGTGAGGAAGGTATAGTGATCGGCCACTGTTACTTCACATGGGCCGTGTAAAGTACTAAAAGGTGTGCTGTTGGTTTCCTGCACAATAGGTCATTTTTCGGAGGTGTCAGTGAAGGGCTCTTAACGATGTAAGGATTAGTTCAAATTAATCAGAGCAAGATGTTGAATTTTATTTATTTTCCTGATTTGATATTGAAAACACAGACCATCAACGCAAACCAGTTTTGCTGCTTTCAGCAAGAAGCTGCCTATGTTTGGTTCAATGAAGGGCCATGCTGGCCTGAGGCCAAAGTTAAAAACTGTGGTAAGTTACTTTTTCAGCAGGACTTTCCCTGAAATGAAATATTTTGGAAATTATAATAAGATCTTTTGTTTTATAGAGAACAGTATCACACTAAAAGCCTTTTTTATTATAAACGAATTTGTTCGATCTCATCAGATGTGGCATTTCAAAATCATTACTACTTCAGCAGGTTCAAAATGTTTACACTTAAAAAGCATTTCCACAAAATGATGAGATGCTTGTTTTTGTTACATATTTATATCTAGTACGAAGTTTACTGCAGAGTACCGAGCTGGGCTGTTGTGAATGAAGCTCGAGGTTATACACAGTGGGATAAAATGCTTCAGTTTTAGACTAAAATAGATTCAATTTTGGACTTAGGCCAGTCACCAACTGTTTGGTCGTTCATGTCTAACATTGGAAAGTCCTTCTTGACAGATGCAGTCTCCCACCGCTGTGCCTGTGTCTTCGCCCAGCCAGAGGGCAATAGAGGAAAAACAGGAAGTGGAAGAAGAGGAAGATGAGCCAATTGAAGTAGCCTCCCCTCCAGCCGCCACCAGCTCCTCAGAGCACACAAGAGTTGAATTGCTTGATAAACCATTGACAGCATCCAGGCCATCTTCTGTCTCTGCGCCTACACATAGCACCAGTACTGAACACAAGGTTGGCTATTCCTTTGTTACATTTGGTTAGTTTTTGTAAAGTCCGAGGCTTTTGTTTATCTAAATTCACTTATGATGGTATGGTAAGTCTCTACAAGTACAGAAAACAGCTCCCGTCAGCTGTATTACATTAAAAATGGTCCTTTGAAATATCATTAAATTCAGTTTATGACATCGTGATCATTGTTTTGATGTCATTTCAGCCGGACCCTGCAGTAAGCAAGTCACATTCCCCTCTACCACATGCCCGCAAACTCGGACCTTCTCTCCCGACCAAGATCCAGATACAAAATGAGTGGGAAGCAAAAGACAGCACTGGAAGATCAGCAACCTCCCTAGCAAGGGAAGAGCGTTCACCCACGAAGAAGCCACGAAGAGCCCGAGATGACAGCGGAAGCGCAAAGAGGACAAGGATGAGCGAGGAAACACTGAGGCAGAGAGAGATGGCGGAAATGGAAGATAAGGAAGATTTCACGGACTGGACGCCCCCTATAGGTCAGTTTCATTGTGCCATTGGTTGAGTCCAGGAAGTGTATGGCCTTTCAACTACTTCAAGCTAGATGATGCCTAAATACGCAGGGATATCCTGTATCATAACACAGATATAGGATATCCCTGCGTATTTACGCATCATCTACCATGAAGTAGCTGACAAAATCTGTATGTAGTGCCACGTGATATCTGCACTTGTCCCCGTGTTTAACCCCTTCGCGCCGGGAAGCGGTAAGAGACGCCGTAAAAATTGAGATCCCTTAGCCCGCTTTTCAGCTGTTATTATCGGCCCACGCTCGAGCGAACACAAGAAAGCAT